TGCACGCTCGACATATTACCACACGAGGAGTAGACCCACGCTCGGCCAAGGGAGAAAGGCGATGTGTGGCGAAAGAGTGTGTGTGTGTGTGTGTGTGTGCGCGCGCGTGTGTATGTGTGTGTATGCTGTACACACGGCGCATCCGGGGAATTGTACTGAGGATGCACCGAGCGCACATTTAACCCGTCAGTGGAAAAGGTTGGGTATACTAGATCCAGCTTGTTCCGCAACTCGCCCTAATTCGAACCATTGTTATTCGCATAATTTTATGTATACACACGTTCAAAGGTGGAGAACTTGATGCGAATCACTGACGATATTAAACCAAACTAAAAACAGAAAGAGAGAAAGAGAGAAAAGCTGCTCTCGAACTGTTTTGAAGTCGTAGATTTAAAGAAGGAAAATAACGCGTTGCGAAAATCAATCGAATATTATAAGCTTGAATAAACTTAATGCCAAACACAAAATTCAAAATCGGAACATAACAAGATGTTTAAAAGACATCCAATGTCCTGATTTTAAACTTTGTGTTGCCTAGAAATGTACCATGTTAATCTTATATAATTTGTTATTATATTTTTTAACAAATACTTCAAATGATTTAAAAACGAGCTGTTTTAGACTATTTGTTACAGCAGTTTTTGAGACTATAGAATGTTTTATAGAAATCAAAATTTGAAAAGATAAATTCTTTGTTCAAGTTCTTCCGATTTTAAAGATTGGGGACATTTTACATAAATTATTTTACATAAATCGACTTCGTTCACACTTCAATTTAATTTATATATAATATGTATTTCTTATATATTTAATTCCAAATGTCATAAGAATCATCCTAAAGACGTTTAGAAAATATTTCACAAATCTTTTACTTATCTTTTGGAAGTTTTTCGGTTTATATTTGGGGAACGAATCTTATCGATATTTTCAAACTTCGTAAATGTCTTATGTCCATTTCTATCAAATGTTAATTAACTTTAATCTCGACTTAATTTACTTTTTATCTTTCTCTAAGAATAAAAGAAAAAATAAAAAGTAAGTTGAGATTAAAGTTAATCCACCATTGGTAGAAATGTGCTAATGGTGAACAGTCGCGCGAGTCCTGGTGTGCTCCAGTAATTTTAAGCGGCTATTTACCTGAAGCTTTATGTCTGGAAGTATCAGCATCGTTCGCGCGTCTCTGTTCGCCAGGGCGAACCGCGGCTATCCGAGCTCACTTTTCGATCCGTGTCCTTCTCGTATCTTCGCGTATTCTCGATCCTCGACGTCCTCCGCGCGTGTCCTCTCGGCGCGAGAGCAACACACGCGACCGTCGTCTTCGTCGGAATTCTCTGGAACCCGCCGCCGCGAAGTTTCCGTGGAGTTCTCGCGGTCGCGTCGTTCGCACGGTCGACCGGAAGTGCGAGGTGACTCCTCTCAACCGAGTACCGATATTCGGCGGAGCACCCGGGTCCACGGTGATGATGTTTTTCAACGATTCGCGGGCGATCGCTCTCGCGGAGGACGAAGATCGCGCACTGTCTTATACGCGATGGAGAATGCAGGAATGTCGCGTTACCGAGCGGAAGAAAGCGGCGGCGGTGCGTTTCTTCAGCATGTCCGCGGAACTGTTGGCGAACGAATGTCGCGTCACGTGGAGAACGTGGAGAACACTTCGGCGAGACCGGAAGGACGAGGTCAGGGAAATCTCGAGGTCGGAGAGAACGACGGATGACGTTCGATCAGCAGTTTATCGGGTGCAGGCAGGAGTTTCGGAGCGCGAAAGGAGTTGGAGCGACGACGACGCGATCGGCGCGATGGCGTACGCGACTTCCCGATCGGCGTAGACGACGATCCATCAACGGCAACCTAGAGCTCGGCTGAAATCGGCCGCGGTCGGTGTAGCTCGGCGAAAGGGAAAAAGAAAGGGTGAGCAGAAAGAAGAGTAGGGATGGGCCCCCGGTCGTGAGGATGGGCCTGCTGTGCTATGTGCGGCCAGGTCTGGGCCGACCGCGCTACGGGTGGAAGGGGAGGGCAGGAGAGGAGGGAACATCACCGCGTGTTTCTCCGCGAGACTGTGATAAATTTCTCGACGGAAACCTCTCAAACACATCCTTCGACATCCATTGAGGAACTCGAGAACTGGTAATTGGTATCGTAATAACGCGATAATTTGTCGATTTTGTAGCGAAAGTAATAATAAAGTTTAGTTTGTCGAAAGAGTGATCTGTTAAGATTGAATTCTCAACAGCATTAAAATCGATGTTTCCGTCACGCTGGAGAATAGTACGGAGCAACGGCAGATTTGCCACTTTCGAGGAAAATATGATAGGAATGATGATAACGCTAATTTTTCATTGCCGCCAATTTATCGCGTCCTTAATCAGAGGCTCATAATATAAGACAGGCACAGTTACTCGCAGTATTAACGTTGTCGTGATTGCAAATGTCATGCGAACGTGAACTATACCTGAAATTGCAATGAGGTCTTCGAGCTACTTCTAAGCTACAATTGCTCCAAAACTATTTAAACATGTAACTACAGTATTCTACTGTCATAACAATTACAAATAATAAATATTTACTATTAATACTTATTACACATTTGCATGTAAACATTCAATTTATCATTTTCATGATTAATAATTTATTATTCGTCAAGCCTGATTTACACGCTTTTTTATTATCAACTAGCATGCTAATTTTCTAGCAAATTAGAAAACTAGTAACTTATAGAAAAATATAATTAATTCTATAAATCCAGTTTTTTGAAAAAAAAATTGTAAAATTATAGCTAACTGACAGTAGCTAAAAAATATAATTCTGTAAATTATATATATTTTTAGAAAACTAGCAACTAAGAAGTATAATTTATAAAATTATATTTTTCAGCTGCTAGTTTTCTAAAAATATATATAAATTTACAGAATTATATTTTTAGCTGCAGCATAGCGTGCTAGTTTTCTAGTTCGCTAAGAGACTAGCTCGCTAATTGTTAGTAAAAAAGCATCGTATAAAACAGGCCTTACTTAGTGCAAAGATATAATTTTTTTTATCTCTCTAACGCTCTATTTCTTTCTCCGTTGTCGAAGTAACTTTCAGAAATACGTCGAAACTATTCCTGCTTTTAGGGAAGCACATTCGCGATCGTGATCCCGTGTACTTGTTCGACCGCTGCGATGATTGAGTTGAAAAGAGCGACAGATGGTTGTAAGACCTTTTCTTCTTTGAGGTAGCATCTTAGAAGCATTTGCACTTCGACATTCCAAGCTGACTAGACTAGATTGCCATCGTTTTTATACACTTCGAGACAGAGTAGCTTGGAAATCCAGCAAAATCCGTTTGTTAAAACAAATTGCGACGTGAAAAACTAATATGTATAATTTTAATTTATGTATGTGTATTAATATCTATACGTGGCTTCGATTTAACAGTTTCTCTCTCTCTCTCATACATTGCATATCAATTTTTATTATCAACTAACAAAAGTCATAATCTACATAAAGTTTTGTCATTTTGATGATGCCAATTAAGTTCATTCTTTGCGTGCATAAACTCATTATGTTGGTGAACGACAGTCCCGATAATCGAGCTCTCCCGTTTCATTTCCGGGGTTGGGTATCCGATTACAACGCACGTTCTGGCGCGAAAATTGTATGAGAGGTTCGAGTTTGCGGATTGGAGTGAAAAGAATGTAAAATTCAGAATGCGGAATCTCCACACTGCAAATCGAAAGTCGCGAGATGGAAAGCCGACGTCGCCGCCGGGAGAACGGCACGCTGAGAGAAAGGCGCTCGCGATGATTAGCTCACCCGGATAGAGACGTACGCAGATGGGCATGGAACCGCGCACTGGGACTTTTCTGCCACCCTATTAACATAGAACGCGATCGCGCCGATCCTTTCGATTATTCCGGTCCGGACCGGAAAAATTTCCGCGTTGTGGAAAAAGGCGGCGTGCTCTTGCCGCTTCAGGGAACACGCGCGCGGTCAAGCGATATTTACGTAATCGATTGCGAAAGAGCCGATCGTTTTTTTACCTGCTGTCGTACCTGGTAAAACGCGTAAAACGCGTATTCGGGCGTAAAAATGGGACGCGCCCTGTGAGCGAGTCGCGTGTGACGCAGAAAATATCGCGCGCTCTCGGCATCGGAACCGGAGTTATTGCGATTCTTACGGCACGTTGCGTGATTACTTTTTCGTATCGGCATGAGCCTCGCTTTATGGCGGACTTTAAAAGTGATGCATGCAAACAAGCGCGTCCGTTCGATTTCGTTTTACGTGAGGCGTGTCTGATTTAGGCGCTGATTTACTGCGAATGGTCGCGTCTTCACCGACTGCTAATGAAAACGCTCATTGAAAAGCTATACCATCACGAAGTCTAATACTTTTCGATAACAAAGAAACATGACATTAAAAGGACACACTGATTGTGTCATGAATATATATGGCATATCCAGACGTTTTCTTTTTTCGAAAAAAAAGTTGACATTTCTATAATTTTAAAAGTTGGCCAATCTACCTGACAAATTTAAACACGTTGGGTTACTCTTTTTCTTAAAGTAAAGAACAAATCAGCAAATAATCTTTAAATAATAACAATCAAAAATTCGTACTGTATATGCCATATTCAAATGTCATATACTTTTTGAAATGTTCGACTCTATGATATTTTTTTTTTTCTTTAAATTCCAAGTTTCTAGTTTTTAAAACAATATAAGAAGCCTTTTACCTTAATTTTTCTGACAAATACAAATTTCTGAAAAAAATGACTTTTCAAAATTTCTGTTTTCTTTTTTATTGTAACTTTTCTCTTAATAAAGATACATACATTTGCTCGTTCCTTAATGTTTTAATTTGCTACAATATGTTCATTTTTATAAAAGTTAGAAGCAATCAAAGTTGGGTTGTCATACTCAGTGTATTATTCTTATGACAATATGAATAGTGTCGTTCTAATTAATCAAACCTTTCTTCGTTAACGTATCGCTCCAGTTGCCTGAAAAAATTGCATGTTGACATAAATAATATTGCTCATTTATTACAACAACGATACGATTCAGAAAACAAAAATTTTCAGGAAATACGTTTGAATGTTTTAAACTAAAATTTTGGAATATTAATTTTGAAAAATACAATTTTTTTAGAGGTAAATAGTAGATTATAGAGGAAAAGTCTTTTTCTTTTTTTCTTTATATTTCCATTCTAAAAAGTTTCCATTACGCCATCAACTAAAAAATAAAAATTTTTTAATTATGTCGTTACAACGATATACTGCGATGAAATGAGCGATATATATGTGTTGATATTCGTCCGTTCGTGCTGTTACCCAAATTCAATGTAATTACGCAAACGGATCTTCCTCTAAAAGAACGCAAACAAACTTAAAATATTGAATATAATCAATAAAATTAAATACCTCGTATCTTATGGAGGTACTGCTACTCTTTTCGTTAAACTGCTAGAAATCATAATTTTAACTCTAAAACGATACTTGGAAGTGCCTGGAAGTTTGCCAACGATTTTCGGTTTTGCCTACATGCCGGACGGAAATTTTTGTCAACATGAGAATTTCGCTTCTTTTTTTTCGAGGTCCTTAAGTGTTGCGATAAAATCAGGGACCGTGGCAAGGTTAACGAGCGGCCACGACGCGAATTGTGTCTCAAGTTTAGAGGCACGGAAGCACGCCGCGTGTCGCCGACGCGTGCGATTACGTATGACGTATGACGTGACTCATGCAGGACCCGTCGTTCGCCCGCCGAGGAAGAGGTAAACGCCGAGGAAGCGACGTCTCCGTCGTTCGGGAGCACCGGAAGACACCCGACAGCTGCGCCAGCGGTGACTCACGCGAGCACACCGCCAGCATACGTTATCGAGTGTCGTCTCGTTTTCTATTGTGTACTGCTGCCCTGCAGACGAAGCCAATGATGCGAAAAGTTCGGACTCGATGATGAGTTTCCGAAAGTTAGTCGAAGAGTGTATATTATTGTGCAAAGCATGGCATCGCGATTTTTTTTTTCAACACCGGATGAAAAATAATTTCAGAATAAAAGTTTCTTGAGAAACATAATAATCGTTATATACCGTCTTGTTAGTTATAAATGTGATTAATTAATTTTAATATGATAATTTTATTCTATGGTAATTTCTTTTTTGTTCTCAGGCACGTCGTGAAAGACAAGAAGATAGATATCGCGCAACGTGATTACGCTCGTTAACACTTGATATATGAATCCAAAGGTTTCGACAGAAGGCACAAAATGGAAATTTCAAGATTGTCGTCTATTTGTAAAATAAAATCATCTGATCCGTCGACGAGCGAAAGACAGTCTACATCTAATGAAAATTTGACACTTCAAGAGGAACACAGTACTGACATAGAAACAAGCGGAGCACAATCTTCACCTTGTGCAATTTTCAAATTTTCAGAAGAACTAATGTTTTATCATGGAACTAATAGAAATAAGTGTAAAAGTACGATTTAATTGCAATTACAAAACGTATTTAATAAAAGAAATTCAAGTATATAGATTAACCTATAAATACTAAAAATCATAACCACACGCTCGTAAGACAAAAATCAGACGGCAAATTCTAATTGTAAGTGGATAAAAAAGTACGAAGAGAAAGGCATAGTCATAAAATTTTACAACTGCTACTTATTTGCAAGAAAAATAAAAACTGTAATTCGCTCCTCGACTCCTGAGACAATATGTTGTGCATTCAAGTCGGAATTGTGAAATTCTATCTCTCTCTTTTCGAATTCGTTCAACTACTGAAAATCTGCAAGCTGATTTTCATCACGTGAATCGGAAAAATTACGGAGTCGATCCGAATTCGAATTTGGGATATTTCTCAATCTTAGCAATTAGAGTACTATCCCACGACTGCTTCTGAACATCCTAATATCGTCTGCTTTCAATCTTCTATCAATACTTAATCGGCTTTACAGTCTTATCGTCCTGCACAGCCTAATCGTCCTGTCCAGTGACGCAGATTGTGGGATTCATATCGCGATTTGAATCTAAGTTTTACTGGATTGTCGTCCTTCTTTTAGCGCCTACGCTGATTTTAAAATATACTTTTAAGACAAACAGGAAAAATGTAAAATAGAGTACCAGCAAATACCAGTGAGTCAAAATAATTTATATACGCTCGATTTACATACTCGATCCCATTTTCCTTTTTGCGGTCAGACTTTGAAGAAAAAAACGGGGAAAAAAGTAAAAATTTCAAGAAAAGAAGTGCGGTCAAAGACGACAGACTTAAGATTAGCGATCTCGCCCTCGGGGAAAGAGACAGTCACTTGTTCAAGGGAAGCACGTGCCAGCTCATCGGTTAGTGATTACCGTCACGACGTGTCCCTTGATGACTCGGTGTGTCAGACGACATACGGCAGGCGCCAGATAACAAAGAACGTGCCCTAGCCAGTCTTTCTCTCTACGTAATATCGACATGCACAAGGTTATGAACAAGTCTTTCGTTTTCCAATCTTTTCACATTTTTCAATCTTATGCTTGTGCTTGCTTTAACAAATTTCAAATTTAGGGTTTTTTGTCCTCGTCTTTCTCTCCCCTCCTCTCACACACACACACACATATACACATTATAAAAAAATAGAATTTTTAAAATTTTAAATTATCAAAATTATTTATTTTTAAATTAAATGTTGAAAAGTTACATGATAAGTTTTCGTTAAATAAATAATTGTAAATCTGAGACACCACGAAATAATAATAAAAGAAAAGCAAGAAATTCTTTTGCTACAAAAACAGAGAGAGAGAAAGAGATCGAAAATGTTTAATCTTTAATATTTAATTTTTTCTCACTATAAATTACAAGTGATATATTGATTGGATCGTTATCTTTTTGCTGAGATAAGATCCGGGAAGCATGAGTGAATCATTCACAGCTATAAATTCCTGGTTACACAATTTTTCCGATAAGAAAGGGTTGTTTTCTTACGCTTGTTTCTATATCCGTGGAATGACGAAGCAACTTCGTACCGCGGATTCGCCGTAAACGGCATTTCGCGAATTCTATAGGTCGTGGATGATTTCACGCAGAATCTTATTCGCGTACCGCAACACGATTCTACATCGTTACGTTTTGTTTATGTCCTTTCCATATGGAAAGACCGGTATGTTAACGCAACGATGCCCAATAAATATTTCTATTACCGCGACATAAATAAACGATAAAATTTGTGGATAACGAATAATCTCTTATGGAAAAATGTCAAAGATAGTCGGCATCCACAAGACCTGATAATATTTTTTATTATTGAAGAGTTGAGGAATGCAAACGTATATATGATTCTGATTTACATAGGTGTTTGTGCAATCAAAATGTAATAAACAGGAAAGATAAGAGCAGCGGCGGGAATTAACATATAGTAATTAACATATCTATCCGATTACAAGTATAATAAATAGAAAACTAGATATCATTGCATAGTAAATTGAAGATGGCAAAAACTATAATATTGATAGTAAGATTGAAAACGACAATTCTTATTTAAATACTCATTTAAATAACACTTACTGTAATTAATGTTAAGATAATAAAATATATACACATACTATATAATATACAAGGTGGATACTAAGTAATATAAAAGATTTTAAGGGATGATTCTTCATACAAATTCAAGAAAAAAATTTCATATGACCATCTGCTCAAAATTTTTTTTATTTGATTTCAAAGATACAGGGTCAAAGTTAAAGGAAAATTGTCGCTTTCTTCCTAAAATTTCGAAAATCACTCGGGTTATTTTGATGAAACTTTGTGTATGTTTCATTAAAGTAATCCGAGTAGTTTTCAAAATTAAAAAAAAAATTTTCTTTTAACTGAATGATTGAAAGAAGTAATTTTATTGTATTGGAAATTTTATATTCCAAAAATATTTATTGGTCGATAAATTTTTGGCAGCCACTATCTGTACATATATGGTATTCACACACATACAGTGTCTATACAGTATGGCTCTGTATTTTGGAAACGGTTCAAAATTATGAAAAGCTGCAAAATATGCGTTTCTTTTTCTAATTTTCAATCGTTTCGGAAATATAGTGACAGACTGTTTAGACATCCTGTGTATATATACAGTGGCTGCCAAAAATTTCTGACCAATAAGTAATTTAATTGTATTAGAAATTTTTAAATATATTTAGTCATATATGTATATATATACATATATACATATGTATATACATATAAAATGTTAATCTCTTCATTTTTTTAATAAATAATAAAACCCACAGTATTGATACAATTTACTATAAGGGATTTACTATAATTTAGTATATATACGCATAAATATTAAATTTATATATTTCTTAAATTCTAAATATTTAAATAACACTTACTGTGATAAATGTTAATAATATTAAATGTATTAATAATAGATAATAATATTAAACGTATATTTCTTAAATTCTGAGCATATATTTTAACTGTTTATTTGAGTATTATTTGGGTATACTTTTTGATAGAGCTATCACAACTATACTAAAAAAAAAACCAGTGTTTAACTTGTATAGAACTGCAAATCATAGAAATATAATAATCTGCAAATTAAATAAAAATTATGAGGATTCGATTCCATCACGTGTAGCCAGACCCGCGAAAGAACGGAAAGAAAGAGAAAAAGAGAGAGAGAAAGGGACAGATTGAAAAAAAAGAGGAAGAAAGAGAACAGGTGCGTTACGCGTCTCGCGATTTCCGGCACGGTAGACGAAGGTGCGGCGTGGATACGCGCGGCGGAGAACGAAGCGTATCCGCTCGAGCGTATTCCGGTCGTGGTCGGAGCGACCTAACCGCGCGATCGTTGCCCGAGTTTACTCCCGTTTTCTCGACACGGACGAGCGGCGGCGGCAGCGGCGCGACGCGATGCAGGCGAGATCGCGCGTATTGTGTATACACACGAGGGCGTATTGTACATATACAACACGTTCTCGCCGTTGCGGCTCCTCGGCGCGACCCGAGAACGCGACCCGCGACGTAAAGCATACGTACATACATAAAGCGAGGCACGCGGCCGGCCCGGCTGGCCGCCGACCTTGCGCGCGTTACTCCACTTTCGAAGGAGGCTAACCGCGAAGGCGAGCGTTGCACCGCGACGCGCGGCGTGGCGCGACGCGGCGCGGCGCGGCGTTTAGCCGTACGTACGTGAGCGCGAGCGGCACGTTTAGCCCTCTCATGCATGACACAATCCGCGTCCGCGGACACTTCTGTTTTCATAGTGGAATGCGGGAACGTACATACGTACATCACGGCGGTGACTTTTATTGCTGTATATACGAGCGCGCGAGGAGTCGTTCGTCTTGGTACGAGACTGCATTCTCTTTGTGAAAGATAATTTTGAAGCTCCGACGCGTTGTTTATCTTTTCCAATTTCTCGAATTATCTCTTTGTTTTTCAATCCAAAACAAATGGTAATAAGAGTTTTCGCTATACAAGTTCAGCTCTCTCATTTGCGAAACCTCGCACGTTTACAGGCTCTTCTTGTTTGTTTGACACTTTAGCGGATTAAAATGTATTTCTAAGAATACGAAGTTGCACACTAATATATAAAAATGTTGTTTACAAAGGTTAAAATGAATCACGATAATAGTTTATTCTTATCAAAAAAAAATGTTAATTGCGGGAATGATATCACTTGCTGTTAAAAATAAAAATGTATGTTCTTTCTCTCCTGGCGACACAGATATAATATTACGCAGACGCGATAACGCACTCATCGATCTTGATAAAAATGACTACCTGTTAAAAGTATTGATAAACATAAAGCTTATTCGATATAAATGCACATAGATGACGTATCCGTTTATTTTATCACGAATGTCGCCGTATGCAACCGATTTCCTCCGAGTTTTCCTCATCACCCGCACAGTTTCACAATTTTTTCTTTGCGACACAAAGTATGACGTAAATTGAGATTGTTCTATGAAGGAAAAGATTGTAACTCACAATGATGCGTTATTCACATACATTTGCATGACAAACGGAACTCTTATTTCTAAATTATTTCCAATTTGCCTAAGTAAAAATAACTTATTCTGCAATTTACGTTAATGCAATTTCGCGGTTAATTTATAATTTCTTGTCTGTGATTAGAATTTTAATGAGACAGTGAATTTCAAATGGTCCTACGTGCATCGCAAGACAATCAACAGTTTCTAAACGAGCATTATTTAAAGCTTTTGTTCACCGATCTCAAATTATGACGTCAGAAGCGAGAAAATACACAATAAAAGTTCTTGTAAATATATTAATATGTTCAATAAAAACAACACTTACAATTGACTTAAAAAAATACCAAAAATACCTTTCTCTCCTTTTAACTTTCTGTTAATTAATAAATAACAAGATTTTTTAATTTGACAATATTATATCATATTTATAAAAACAATTACAAAAACAGCAAACATTTGTAAAAATACAAAATTTATAATTTTAATATATAATTTTAATCAAGAAACAGCGACATAAAACGGTTTCAATTTTAAACTTGCGTCGAGTTTAAAACAAGCTGGACAACAATTTGTATCGCCATCAATTGGCACTCAATCAAAAAGTAATCGCCGTCCGCGCGAGTAGTGTGATTTTATTGTTTATACATTCAGAAGCCGAGCGGAAAGGCACGCATTCTTAAGAACGCGAGGTAACAATAGGCACGTGCTCTTTTACGATGTACCTCGTTAAAGCAATTATGCCAATTGGATGAAGCCTAAGCAGGTAAGAGGCCGCGCGCATCGCGCTCGTCGAGGTAAATTTTCCCATCTCATTATCGAGATATAATTAAAATTTCGAAATGTAAAAGTCGTTCGTTTATCGATTTAGAAATTATGCGGGTATACATATAATTCACTGTACATGGATGAAACGAATGTATTAAATACAAGTAACATGTTACAGATAGACAATAAAAAAAATAGCCTTGAATCGATATAATTACATAATATAGGTATATATCCGTATCTACGGATGAAATCTTCAAATGAACGTTCGTCAACAACATTTTCTGATAAATGAATGCAACCAACGCAATGAACGCAATTAAAGTAATTTTACGATATGAAGCAATTAGGCGAAATGCGATGTTAACGAGCACGTATGACTAATGTGATACCGCCGGTATCTCTCCAGCTCCAGGCAGGTAGCAGCTACTTTGAATGTGTGGCAGGTGTTGTTATCTTTTATTTCCACGGTAATAATGGCTACGTATAGTGCGTCGTACCTTTGTGGAATCTTCCTAGAAAACGCCGCGGGGATTCGACTGCACTCGATATCTCGCGACGCATATGGCTCAGGTACATACCCCGGCACCGCGTAAAGTATACATAATATCCGATGGGGTATAATAGAAAAAAAAAGCTGAATATGGCTCATCCTCCCGCACTTGTGGAGGGGCGAGTAAAAACATCTTTCAACGCGAGAATATCTCGTGATTAAGATAGTGATACAATTTATCGTCGGACACGTAATGTGAGCGTGACGTTATTTTTACGATGAGTTTTGAGGCACCCTAACGTTTTAGAAATTTAGATAAAGTTGTACGTAGGTTTTATTAAAAATTCCCGTTTAAATAAAAGTTTATTAAAATGAAAGATTGAACAAACAATAGGAAGATTTTAGAATAAATTCCTTTCCGGAGATATATTTTATAGAATGATTTATGAGAATTATATAAAACATATTTCCAGAATAGAACTTATTCTACATAAAATTATATGTAAACTATATATTAAATTATATTTAAATTACATAAAACTTTATATCCTATATATATATAATTTTATGTAATTTAATTAAATATAATTTTATATAGAACAAGTTATATAAAATATTTATATATGTACGTTGGTTGAAAATTTATTGATGTAAAATTATTGTTTTTTTATATTTATACTAATGCCATCTCTTAGTAAAAAAAAAAAAAACTTTCCGTTCAATTCAATATAAGAACTGTAATTTCTTTTATTGTAATTAATTTATCTCTCTCAAATTTATCTCATATGGTTTAAAATGTGTTAGCAAAATAAACTAATAGACAGAGACGAGACTTTAGAATAAATTCTCTTCTAAACAAAGAATATCTTAAAGTATGTTATTTTCGATGAAAAGCATTATGACTTTTTTATTGCTGGCTTTTTTCAAATTTAATTCAAATTTATTTCTCATATGGATTGGAATAAGCTACTAAAATAAAACACTAATTAATTAACAATAAAGAGATTTTAAAATTTCTTTCCGGAAAGAGACATATTTTGAGAGAAATACATAATTTTCAAAAATATTGTAATGTCTTCTTAATCTCTCTCAAATTTATCCCAATATATGAATCAGAATTTGTTACTAAAATAAAAAATTGATTAATAGACAAAGGCAAGGCTCTAGAATAAGTTCCCTTCTGAAAGAAAAATATATTCTAGACCGTATAGATATATTCTAGAAATATATATTTTGTCGATGAAAAGTATTTTATGACTTCTTATTGCCAATACTTTTTTGAAATTTATCCCACATAGTTTGTGGAATGTTACTAAAATAAAAAATTAATAGACAACGGTGAGACTATAATAGCATAAATTCCCTTCCGGAAAGAGATGTATTTTAGACCGTACAATTCTCCATGAAAAGCATTGTTCATTTCTTTTATTGTGCCAGTATCCGTGTCTCTTTAAAATTTACTCCACACTGGTTTGGAATGTGTTGCTGTCGCAGTTGTTCTACGCATAATGTAATTTGAATTTCCATTTGGCCGTTCGTCGCGACGAAATTTTAACATATGCACGCAACACACGTATGTTTAATCTATCGATACGTTTGCACAGTGATCTCACATCTGAAGGATACTCAATTATACATGAGCGCACGGCGTTGCAAATCAATTTTTTAACTCTTCAAACTTGCATTGTTAATATTTCACTCTATCCTCGTGACTGTCTGATATTCATTTCACATTGACGCAGAATTACAATTGACACACGTTAGTTTAGCTTCAAAGCTGCTCTCGCCTTCACGTCTCGCGCACGGATCGCGTTCGCTTTCCCGAAGTGATATCGGATGCATGTCGCTAAATATGATATGTATAGGAATGCAACGCAAGTAAAAAAAAAAAAAAAACTCAGTTCGGTAAGAGCTAGGCGGTAGCGTTTTAGCGGTAAAACGCGACCCTGAATGCATCGCCACAGATAGAAACGAAAGTGAAAGTACCCGCGGGTACTTTGACAGAACGATATCCGTCCGGCGGCGGATCGGATGAAAAACATTGGAAAACGTATCGAGATCGACGCCCGCGTCGCCGATTTCGTCGTACCTAGAATCCCGTGGGAATCCCCGTAGGGATGTGACTCGCCGTTGTAACTCGCGCCAACAAAAGCGGAACACTCTCAACGCGGTGATCATCCTCGACGTTCTTCGAGCGTGCGATAAGTTCGCTAATTCGAAGCCGCGGGACCGTGAAATTCGATACAGAATATCGACACAGTGATATTGACTTACCCGAACGAATCGCGGCCGATCGAAGCCGCCATCGTCGACGACGTCCCCTGCCACGATCGGTACGTTCATTGTAGCCGCCGTCGCATCTCATATATCACATATGTCGCCGCTCCAAACGCCGATCGAACGCCGATCACCACCGAACTATGGGGAGCACACTGGACGAGATACGTCGCACGGGTCGAGCATCGTCCGTAAAAGCGCGTGTGTCACTGTATTATACGCTGATCTGCTGTCGTTCGGTCACGCCGAAACGTAGACGCGTGCCGGTCACGATCTGCGTGCGATCGCAACGTAATTTAAATCGCGTCGTAACCGTCAGGCGCGTAGGCGCGCCGCCGTACGTGTGCGCGTATATACTCCGCGCGACTCTCGATTTCGTCGGTCGGTCGGTCGCGGTGGCAAAACCGGAGCCGAGACTGCCGAGAGCGATCGAGAAGCCGCCGACCGGGGGAGAGATCGATCGACGCGATCGCGTGTATAGCGCGCACTGTCGACAGCCACACGGCCACTGATCCGGAGCTCGGCTTCGGGTTGCTCGCACTCGACACACGGGACATCCACCGCGGTGAACGGTCGGTGGAACGATCGATCGCCGTTGCCGATCGCTCGCCGGAATGGGTGTCGCGTATCAGCGGCGCGAGAGTGTACGCGACAGTCGCGTACCACGCGAACGCTCGTGTCGGACTGTCGCTCGGAACGTTGCAACGCGCGCGAAGGTACTATACCGACTATACACACGCGCGCGCGCAAGTACACATACACGCATACACGCGCGTTCACTGGCGAGTCCGTTGCAGCTCCCTAGGCACTGTATACCTTGGTAACTTTTGATGAGAGGGATCGGTTATGGTCGCCTCGACCTATGGTATACCTGTACAGGCCCATTGCTAACAATGTAGATTTTACTCTTTAACCTCGGCTTAAATTTTAAACTCTTTATCGTTTTCTAATTCTCAGAACTAGAAGATAAAAGAAGTGTGAGTTAAACCGAGATTAAAGTTAATCTATATTGATAAAAATGGCATTAGAATGATATCAGAACTCTTATTGAGTTAATCCGCGGTCATTAACTTAGGCAGCTATATTTATATTAATTTATTGATATATATGGAATTATTGATATTACGTTGTTTAATATATAGAAAAGGAGATTTAATTAGAAATGTTATATAATTAGAAATTTTGCTTTAGGCAATTCTACCGATTGGATCACAATCGCTGAATAAGTCATTATAATTAATCTAAATTTGATTTAAATCACTGATTTTATATGGATGATTTCGATTAAATTCCTCTTAATTTATCAAGCAATACTTATATTATTTTATTAACATGAATATATATATATATATATATATATATATATTAATATTAATATTTCATTGTTTAACATCTGGAAAAAAGAGAGTAGATTAGGGAAATTATATAATTAGAAATTTCGCTTTAGGCAGTTTCAACCGGTTGAATCAACCGCTGCAGATTAAAGTTAATCTAAATTTCATCGAAGATTTCACTCTCTCTTTCTCTATGAATGATTTCGATCAAATTTCGATTAACTTAATGCTCTCTGAATGATTTCGAACAAACTTCGATTAATCAGTGATTAACGTATCAAGCTATATTTAGTCTGTCAATCTGGATAGAATTATTAATGTTTCGCTGTTTACAAAAAAAAAAGAAAAAGATTAAATTATAGGAATTATCTGTTTAGAAATTTTACTTCAGGCGGATTCTGCCGGTTGAATTATATTCACCGATTAAGTTAATCGGAGTTTCGTCGAAGTTGCCTCAAAATTGTCGTCGGACACGGATGTCCTCGAGACGACATCCGTTCCTTTTCTCCTCCATGAATCTCAATGAGTCCCTTTTGATCCCGCATTTTCCACTCCCACCTATATCTCTCTTAATTTCTTCCGTTATTCTCTTTCGCAGTTTTCGTGGATGCTCTTGGCAGCCCGCCGCCGCATTGCGGAGACAGTATATTACGCTTCTCTTCACGAATGGTACTTAGCACCGCATCAATCATCTGCATCTATTAGAATTCTCCCAGCGACCGTTATTGACAACGGAAGATTCGCAACTGTTCGTTAACGTTACCTCGAACCGAACTCGCCGTGGATCGAGCCGTACAGGATTGCCGCAGTCGCGTGTCTCGTCGCTTCAAGTTGTGGAATTCGGTCGGGCGCATTAGCGCGCAGATTTATACGAAAGCGCGCGTATAGCGCACTTATAAAACTGCTCGGCGCGTGAGTCATCATCATACGACAGAATTCATCTTTAACTTGTAGACACCTCTGTGCTTAGAAAAGTTTCTGAGTACCTGCATCCGCTTTTGAGGATCACTTTAAGCTATCTTTTTATCTCTCAAACGGGCGGACAAGTGTCGAGACATTACTTCGTAACTTTGCTACGAACGTCGTATGACAGAAATCTAAGAAAATCATATATTAATCGCTATAATGTTACACAAACATATGTATAGATACTAACAAGAGAAACATAATAATAAGAACAAATAAACAATATCTGAAATAAAGCCACACGTGAGAAACGATCTTTTCAAGCGTTAAGTATCTGCAGAAATCTAAAGAGAGGATCTTGACATTTTCATGTCCCGCGTGTAGCGCCGTGATCTGTTGAAAATTATATGCCCATGTCCTCCAGCGCTATAGAAAGGATTGATTGAAGTAATTTTTAAAGATTTCATAAAATTTTCCTAGATATTCTGTTATGTAACGTTCGAGGTAAAATCATTAGTATGTGTGTAGATAATGTACATAGGCGTCACACACTACTTTAAAGTGCTTTTTACCCAGGGTTGGGAAGTAATGCGTTACATTGTAACGCGCCGTTATAATTTTTATTACTTTTTCAGTAACGATTGTTACTTTTTTTATTTGTAATGGTAACGGTAACGTCGTTGCATTTTTACAGTAATGGTAACGAATTTGTCATTAGTTTTTTATACTTTTATCTTCTTATTTTATAATACATTTTTAATTTATTTAAAAAAAAATATTTTGTATACTCTCTTAGGTTACGTTCCGATAGTCACTATTAGTACTGAAAGTTTATAATTCACATTGTATATACACTATATACAGGGTGTCCCGCCTCTACCGGATTTCCTTTTAAGAACGTGTTCCTAAGATAATTTTGAGACGAAAATCCTAATACAAAAATGGCGAGGCTATAATACTTTTCAAATTATAAACGATTTTAGTTAACCAATATTAGCGGCTGAAATTCGCGCGCTCAGGCACGGCACATCCGATGGTTCCTTTTTTACATATCAATATCATATCAATATTTTACATATCACACGAAACTAACTTCGTGACTAACTAACCATCGGATGTGCCGTGCCTGAGCGCGCGAATTTCAGCCGCTAATATTGGTTAACTTAAATCGTTTATAATTTGAAATATATTATAGCCTCGACATTTTTGTATTAGGATTTTCGTCTCAAAATTATCTTAGGAACACGTTCTTAAAAGGAAATCCGGTAGAGGCGGGACACCCTGTATAGATTTTCAGTACTAACAGTGAATGTTAATTGGAATGCACTCTTAATAATGACATTAATATTTAAAAACACTAAATTTAATTTAACTTTCTATGAAAATAAGTAATATGAAGAAAAACTTGCTCTATATGTATACAGACTAATAAAAAATAATGGTAACGGTAACGCGTTACTTTTTTAAGGTAACATTCTCAATCAGCTGCTTTAACCTTTGAAAATCTAATAACGAAAGTTATTTTCGCGCGTACGCGATATAAAGGAGAAGAAATTTAGCAAAAAATAAGGGCAAAAATAAGGATAAACTATCGAATATTCGAAGTGCGCTGATTATTATTTGTCAGTTTTGTAACAGAGTTCCAAACTGAAGCTACCGTGATACGGCAGGAGCCGTAATATCACGAATTAAATTGACAAGCAATTTAATAAATATTGATGCTGATGTGAGCATCTTACAAATGCAGTGAAGGAATTTACTGCGGAAAATAGCCCATATGCAGCCAAGATTTGAACCTGGATCTCTGGGCCTTCTTACATTCCGAGCGTCAACCGAATAAACTAAGCTATCCTTATTTGTGTTTTTATATATCGTCGATTTCACTTATTATATTGTTTACTCACGTCGCCTGATGTGACGTTTTCTCCTAACAAATACTTGTTATTGCGATAAATGTGACCGCTTACCCCAATGGTCGAATTGGTAAGAAGTTTGTCACGGAATGTAGAGAGTTCCAATTAGTACCTTGGTGAGCTGATATTTCTCGCAATAATTTTTTTTTATTATTTTTAAGGTGCTCATTAGTATCAATATTATTAAATCGCGCTTGTCAATTTAATTCGTTATTTACATTACAATTCCAGCTTTATTTTAGAAACTGTGTTTCAAGACAAAAATCGACGTGCATTTTGCATAAATTGAAAATTGTAAAAAAATTCACGCAAAAATATTAACTAAGCATTAACATCCGGCTTGGTCGAATATGGCTATCTTTATTTATTTGTGTTATTCTGTCGATTTTTCACTTAATTATTACATTTCTTTTTTTAAATCCATAGAATGAATATTCATAGGCTTTTATAGGTTTATTGTATACACGCATATAATACATATATTATAGACATACATATATTTTATTTATATTTTATTTATATTTATATTAAACACTTGACACTATCGTATCTCCTGATAAGTATTATATATTGAATTATCTATTTTCATAAAAAAATGGCCGGCAAAAAATTTGGTATTGTTTATCTCATATTTAAGTTAATTTTTCATATTATAATAAGTTATTAGCGTTATTAAATGAGGTATTGGAAAAAAACGCTATCTCGCTTTGTACGATCTGTAACAGATCGAATCTCAAGAAATTTTCATTTACGAGTCGTTGAAGGAGAGCAAGAATTCTGGCGATCAGGCCCTCGTGAAAATGTATTATACCTACCTACCACGAGACACACACTGTGCCACGGGCATCCCCGCGCGATGGCGTAATCGCGAGGAGTCCGCGAGGATGAGCATCACGAAAGGTCGGGGCGGCCTTTCGCCGCGCGTGGAACACGGCGAGGCGGAGGTCGTCGTCGCCGCCGCCGCCGCCGTACCGCGGTCGCCGCGTATTCCACGGCATATTAATTTCCATCCGTCGCGTGAAAAATACACGCGTTCCCCGAAACCGACGTAATCGAATTTGGTGAAAGGGCACGGAGGGGGGGGGGATGCCTTCGAAAGCCGGCATCGTTAGATATGCGTTATACCTGATTATACCTACTCCCCGGGGGGGGGGGGAGGACGGCACAGCGCGGCCACGTGATCGGCGATTGCCGTACGCGCGCGATCCCGCGTGAGTTTGCGTAACGTCGTTACGACTCCGCGCGGCACGGAGAAAACGACGCGAGACGGCCAGGCACATCGGGCTAATTCATGATTATTGTTCGGAAACCGCCCGGAGATCATTACGCGTTGATAATGCCTGACGCTCCATGCCTTCGCCGTTCATAGATCGGATCGGGTCTGCACACAGCTCGAATCCATCCTGTTTTGTACATGCGGCGTGTATAAGAAATCACATTATCGTCGATTACGGTGCGGCAAAACATGGCTATCTCCGCATAATTATTACGATCGCTGAGTCTACGTGCACGGGTGTTACGCATAATGCGGAATTATCGTGCACCATCTGGATTATCATTATACTTATAGCACTCGTATTTGCCGCTGCCGTGGTTTCGTACATCGCGCAGATCGAAGTATTTCTCGGCAAAGTATTAACGTACGAAAATCGATCTCTCTCAAATATTTCAATAATAAGTTCCTAATGCTCTTAAAGTTACATAATACATATTTTGATGAAAATCTATTAGCACAAAACATTCCAGCAATATATGTAATATTATTTCAAATATATAATTTGTCTTCTCATTATTCGTCAATATTATTTCATGTAATTTTATTAAATATAAGTTTTTAATTTAATTTTACTTTCGGAAATTCAACGTATTCTTCAGCGAGAAACTAGTGAGAAATGATCACCAATTCGATGTCGAATCGATGTCGAATTGACGTCGATATGATGATTTCGACATCAATTCGACATCAATTCGACATCGATTCGACATCGATTCGACATCGAATTGAAAACTATTTCTCACTGGAAATAATCCAGGCAGCAAGCTGGCATTATTTGTCGTTATTTTAGCGTCAAAACGTCGCCAAAAATTTCATTAATAAATCATGTCAGATTGCCACTTGGAATTTTGTAAATCACGCCGAGGATTTTGCAAGTGGAGAAGGGAAATCAGATCGCGTCCTCGTCCTCGCGAGGAGAGAAAAAGCGCGAAACGGGAGAACCTCGGGGCGGAGCGGGCGAGCGATAATAGCATGTTTCTCTTAAACACGACCGATCGATATCACGTGTAATCTACGCGTGACTGCGTGTCGCGGTGACTCGCGACCGCTGGCTATCTCGATTTCTCTTAATATTCACGTCAACGACGTTCGACGCGCTACGGTGGACCTTGACTACGCCCGCAGGATTGTATAGAAACACGGCAATAAACAGACACGGTCTGTCGTTCCGTAGCCAAGATTTGCATTCGACTACCTGTCGGTTTTACACGCGCATCTTCACAAACGTAATCAGTCGCATTTTACGCGCATTTCATAATTCAGGATAGACATAATCGCTGGCTTTATCACGACTGGATACATTTAAAACATTTAGATTAAGCTGCAAAAAAAAGCTAAAAAAAAAAGTGATTTATCCACTTTTTATTCCTGCTAGAAATAAAAGTGCAAATAAATGGAAATATTTTATCGTCACTGCGGAGTGGCATTTAGTTAGAGGAGCGTCTGTAAACTTAGGAATGCAGTGTGTACAACGATAATGTCTACACGATTTTCCATTCATGGGATACGTCGAATCCAATAAATATTCCACGGCGAGCGCTGAGAAATGAGGCACGCAACAGACAATGGTAATAGATGCATTGTTATATTTAGATCCGCGTATATTCACAGTATAGATACAATTAGTCCTTAATTAAGGCTCTTAGCTTACGTATCTAAACTCTAGCATATTAACAAATCATTCGTTCGTTACGAGATTCGATCGACAGGCAACGTGATTTACATTTCCGCCGTAATTCCCTTTTTTGTACAGGCACGTGCGATCACCTCGGGGAAATATCATATCGGGCTGGCGTTCTTTTCTTCTTCATCCGTCTCTATTCTACTCTGTGGAAAATTGTTCGATACATGCAGAAGCGTGTGTGCTAGAATGTACGTAAAGTATGTGCGCCTAAAGTGTGGCCACGTAACGGCTCGCTGTTTTCGTCGCCGACATTGGTACGAGGGCGAACGCCCGCGGCCGATCCGACCGAAAATCGGCCGCGCGGAGAACTCGCGCGCGCGCGCGCGCGCGCTCGCGGTTGATACTTCCGTGATTTTTACAGCTCCGAGAACCGGCTCGTTACGTCGCCTTTCGCTAGACATTTCGAGCGTGCCTGGCATAGCCGCCCCACCACGCCGACGCGCCGCTACCTGTTGACTGCAAACCGAACGGCACGGGGGCACGGTCGCGTCCTGTCCCTCGCGCAATCGGACGAGATTTCCCGTGTCGTGTGGGATCGTCCTCCTCGGACGATCGCATCCGGGATTGTTATATTTACACGTGTCTCGCGCGTGACGCGCGCGGAATACACCTCGGATCGGCTTTCGCGCGTTGGAACACCCGGTCGCCGAAAACGGAACAACCGCGGCGTCAACACCGCGAGTCCATCGCGAGTAAAAAAATAATCAATCTCACCGTTGGTTCACCTCACGATTTATATATTTTTACATTCGGGCAATTTCATGCGCGATTTTGACCTGTCGACAATCGTATCTTCATTCATTTGTACAAAGGCGATAAGAGGGCGACGTCGTATGTATACGTCGCGTGTTATCTATTGCTGATTTATCAAGTTGCAAAAAGCTAAATGTTGAATTCGCAGTGCTGACATCGCTACGTATCCGTTTTCGGAGATTTTCTCCCCCCCTCCCCCC